CAGGTCTAGAACCAGAAACCACTCCATGCAAGGCAAAGTGTCAATACTGCCTCAGTCCCAAACAGAGTTGTGAAGTATAAAACAAGAAAAACAGTTATTTGGAGACAAAACCATAATGAAACAAAGTAAAGAACCGGGCAAGTCAGCTGCACTGACAGTGAAACCAAAGTCATCAGCAAGCTCTTAAACTTTTAGTCATTACCACCCTGAGAGAGCTATTACTTTTTGTTTAGGAGTTCTGTTGGTTTTGGTTTGCTCTGTTCTTAGAATGGGATATATTCATGAGACTTAATGAGGTTCCAGGACTGGAAGAAAGTATAAACACATTCACATGGAAGACTGCCACACAAAAAACTAGGATTGTTCAACACAGCAAACAATTAAGTGTTAAGTGAAGATCAGATGTCAAGGGCACCACAAGTCAGACAAGTCAACCTTCATTCTGTCAGACATAGCTAACAGCAGTGATGAATTAGAAAGAAAAAACCCTATTCTGAAAGTATTTTGAATGTCTTGCTGTAGACAGAGATTGCATTTTTCAAAAATCAGAAGAAACTAATAAAAGAGGGATAAAAAAACCAAACCACAAAACCCGAAAAAAAAATAATCAAAATTCACCACTATTTATTTACTCTCTGCAATGGTTCACTGCTAATGATGTGTTTGATCAGTCTGAATTCTCACCAGATGCATTTTCTTTTACTTCCTTATTAATAGCAGATTTATGAATATGCTGCATTAGTTTTAGCAGATCATGCCAACGTTTCTGCCTGTAGCAGGTCTGAATGTGTCCCAAGAACGTCTGATTTTTCTTTCTAGAAAACGTCTGAGAGAAGAGCTCTTCAAAAGACTCACGCAGAGGTAGCCAGATCAGCTTGTTATCCACAGGCTTGTAACTGAAGAGAAGCAAAAGAGTAGTTACTTATTTGTGACACAGGAACAGGAATTAGCATCTGCGAATTAAGAAAAACAGTTACCAAAACAATTATATTGTGCATGAAGGAACCCTGGTTTCCATAGATTCTACCCAACCAATGAGTGAAGAAAAATTGCACATATTTAAATGCACCTTAAGAGGCAATTTTACAAAGACAGGAGCACCCTGATAATTGAAATTTTTTTACTACTACCAACCAATATGTCCAGTGAATATTACATCGTATTTATACTGCACAGCTTAGCCGTTTTTAAAGGGATACTGAGTTGTGCTTTTAAATGACTTCATCACATACAGATGTGCACACAATTGAGTGAAACTGCCTCTGTTCTTCAGCAAGGACAACAAGGTTTCTGCACGCAAACATGTTTCTTAAGACACTTATGCTACTATGAAATAGATACGTGTCTAAAAACAATTCTTTGACAACACAACTGCACTGGCATCAGAAGCTTGTTCTGATACTGCCAGTTTGTTACGCAGAACAGACAAAACACTCAGCGACTCACCCCCCTAATAGATCTGCTGTGTCACTTTGTTGGTTCATGTTGATAACCCTCAAACGGTGTCCTTGAAACAGAAATAGAAAAGATCATCAGCTGGTGGGGTTTTTTGGGTTTGTTTTTTTTTTTTTGGTTGGTTTTTAAATCATCTTCATGTAAGTTACCGTCTTCGCACTTTATTTACCTGTAATATGAGCAAGGTACTGAACAGTTGAAGTTTTGCCAGTTCCTGTTTCACCAACCAAAAGCACAGGCTCTCCTTTGACAACACACACTGCAAGCTGTTCAATCAATACTGCAGATGGTCGTGTGGCAGCAAACGTTTGTTTTGCTCTGAAAAAACAAAGGAAGCAACTCAAACCAGAGATTTATCAAGGAGCTAATTTCAATTTTACCTTTATGATTTTTTTAGAGGAGTGGTTGAATTTAGGATTATTTTTTTTTAGTTAAAAAAAAAATAGGTTTGGAAAAACTTCATTCCAAGACACCCTTATAATATACTTATTTTTCTCAAGATACAACCCAGATACTCAGGGTTTCCAAAGAACTTCCTAGACAGTGGAATTAGTGCCACATACTAAAAAAAATCTCCCTTTACAAAGACAGATTCATCAAAATCTTATTATAACAGCTGTGGATCCACACTGCTTTGAAGAAACTCTAATTCGAAAGAAGCTGAAAGTCTCCATGCTTTGGCTGCCAGAAGTATCATGGAGACAGCCTTAAAGATACAGAAGGTAAAGCTCACAAGCAAAAGAACTCATCGCATTTCTTTCCTTAGAGCGGGAATATCCAACCTGCATTTTTTTTCCTAAATCCTGTGACTTCCAATGTATTCTATTCCACCACAAAATATTTCAATTCACATGGAAACTACAAGATGTTCTACCTTTGTACAGTGAGAGCCTGGGTTTGTTTCTTCATGAGATGCACTCTTCCGACAGAGACTTCTTGTTCCCGTATTAGAATTTCTGGTTTATAGAGTTCACAAAAGAACTCTACCTGTGAAGAAAGCATCAACATTTCCAATACTAATGTTGCCTACAACATCACACTAAGAATATCCCTGCTATGCTACCAGTATTACTTTGCAGCAAGCTGACTTTTCATGATAAGATTTTATATTTTGCAGGTTTTACATAGTCATCATCTAAAATACCAAAGGACCTCAGCAGTGTTATTGTCTGTACAAACAACATCCTTCCATTTAATAACCTGGTAATGGGTCTTTGTCATTATATTTCTACTTCATCTACTTTCATGGCAGTTCCATTACATAAACTTGAACCTGGGAACAGTTATCTTAACTAGTAATAAACAAACAACCTCCCGCAAAAAAAAATTGGTGAATACCTCAGTGTAAACAAGGATATTTTGGCATTGGCAAGAGCATAATACATTCCTATATTGGAATAATGCAGAGGAAGAAGGACAAACAGAAAAATCCACAGAAGTTTCTGGGACCCATCTGTCTACCCAACTGGCAAGTTTTTCTGTCTTCAAGTAAAAAAAGGAGGGAATGTGCCCTGCAATCAAACTTCTATAGTCAGAAATAGCTGACAAATAGCTGAAAAAGTAATGATTTAGTTTAACTCAGCCATTTATATCACACGCTATCAATATACAGAGAGTTACTAGCCTCTAGAGCGGTACTTGATTTTGGAATCAGTGATTACAGAACAAGTAATCGTTGTGAGGAAGATTACGTTTCTCTCTGATCTCTTTGTTTAAGTGATTAAAGTTCACTGTAACTGCCAAAGAAAAAACACATTCTTTACTACTCTGTACAACTAGCAATATCATGTGCTTAGGCAACTGTGCAGTTCCAGCTGTGTGATCCTTCTTTTGCATGACGAGGCCATTTGCAACCTGCTCTGAAACAGGTTCATTGGAACTTTCAGAAAAAAAATGCAGTTGAAAATAAAACAGGAGAAAAACGTAGATCCTGGAATAGTACAGAGAGCAAAAAAGCATTTGGGACAGAGACAAGCATAATTTAAAAAAAAAAAAGCAGAACGCGTTTAAATTAATCACTAGAAAAATTGCAAGTTATAAAATATTACCAATAAACACCACGTTAATTATAGCTCAACATACCTTTTTCTTGGAAATGTTTAGTTTACTTCCAATAACTTTTGCCATTTTCTGTCTGCTCCCTTGACTGGAGAGCATAGCTGTGAAACAGTCTAATGCCTGTCAAGGGGAAACAAACCAGCTTCTTCAATACAAATTTTGTATGATATGAGCTGACAAGTACCATCTTAATTTACAGGAGGCTGAATCCAGTCCAGTCATGGTAAATAAAATTATTTCACTGTCCATAGATCAAGTTAAACAATGGTGTTCAAAAGGATGTAATAAGAACTTCTAAACTCTCTACTGAAAGTAAAAACTTTTCAATGCCCAGTCACAGAAGCTATTTTTAGATAAATGGACCAAACCAGAGAAAGAAGTAACATTGTAAGATCTCATGTCTTAAAACTACCTCTGACTGATGCACATTCAAAAAATTCCAAACCTGGAATATAAACTGATACATAGGAAAGCAGGAAAGAAGCCTCCCATTACAAGAAAAAGGAAAGATCTTACAAATTTTATTCTCAGTCTTATGAAATTCCAGCTCATATCAGTAAAAATTATGTTGCAGTATACTGTTCGTATAACAGCAGTAAGTCTGGATAGGCTTGCAGCACATTACTGCAAACAATTTCCCTAGTAGTAAGGAAGGCCTCCCATAGATGGATCACAACCATTCCAACCATTCCAATTGCTTCAGATAAATCTAAACATAAATTCCTGTCTCACATTCCCAAACAGAGTATTTTAAGATTTATGAGACAATGCTAGAATTTGGGTACGCAATCTGTGGATCAAGTCTTACCGCACCTCCTGAAAAATATTCACTGCTGTGGTTGAAGAATTACTGTCGAAGTTGTAAGCAATCCTGCTGCACCAATTCAGCAAGTCTCTAAAAAGCAAAACAAAAAGATTTGATACGATCAAGACAAAATGCACAGCCCCTTCTTTTTCATGTTCAGCTCAAGTCATTATGTCACCTTTTGGCAATCGCACATTAGTTGTTGTGTAAGCTGTACATGGGAAGACACATACCAATAAGATGCTAATTCTAAAGAGTTGCTGAGCACATTAAGACCAACAGTGTTACTTTCAGATATGTTGCTTACAAATAAATAATACATATTCCATTAAACCATACAGTAATTACGAAATTGAAAAAATGAAAAGCAGCAAGCTTTTCATCCAGAAAGGTATAAAACCCTATTTTTTCAAGATACTGATCCCTTATCAACAACAAAATCTTCTGAAAGGTAAGAAAAGGAAACATCTAATTGTAGATTTAAAAACAGCTGCTGGTTTAAATATTACTGACATTCTTATGCGTCACAAAAATATTAGGTACTACCCACACCTACTGACTAATTCACAAAGCACTAATGGTTACAGAAATTCCACAGGAGTAGAAATGACATTTGGTATGAGAGGAAGAAATAACTGAATATCAAGCTGCATTTCATCATAAAAATTCTGAAATTTTTACTACACTACAGATCCAGGTATTTTCAGTCATTTGTAAGTTAGAATGCTGTGAGTGCCTTATATAAAAATTATCTAGATAAGTAAATATATCAAATTGCTGAAAACATTATCCACCAACTATTGTGAGATTATACAGTACATTTTAGTCAACGGTTCTTAACTAGATCTCATGTTTTGTGTTAAAATGAATTAGGAGTAATCCATATGGCTTGATAACAACTCAGTACTACATATAACAAAACCTGCATTTTTTCCTCAAAAAAAAAGTATAGCAAATAGGAAGTCCTAAACGATTCAGACTGAGATTTTTTTAAGATATATTAATTGTTATTTTAAAAAGAAAAATAGATTTTTCCAGTTTTTTATGAAACGTCAGTTTAATTATTCAAACTTTTATCACTATTAAAAAAAATAAGAAAAATAACAAAGATTATTCTTCTATCTCTGCAGGTAGCTAACTAAATTTCCTTCTAATAAACATACAAGACAAGACAACCTTAGAGACAGCTCTCGTCCTTCCAGATTTGGTTTCTTATTTTCTAATCCTGATGAATCTTCTGGTATGTGCCTGGAGACAGAAGAACTGTTTTCTGATGCCTGATACTTGTCTCCTGTAAGGTGAATGTAAATGTCTAGCAAGTGATCAGTTACAAGGGCAAGGTTAGGGTATCTCCTTTGCAGAACCTGAAAAAAAGAATGAAAACAAACAAACCAACCTTTAGCATCCGAAGGAAACCGCCAGCCCTTCAAATTTTGATAGGGTACACTTCACTAGATACTCAAGCTAGCAAGCTGCACAAAACTGCTCTCTTGGAATCTCTCATTTGAAGAAAATAAAAGTCATTGTGACTTGTATTTTGTCAATTTGGATGCCAAAAGTGAGTTTTGCCAGCTCAACTCTACTCTAACTTGTTTAATACATTTGCACAAATACCAACAGGAAAAACAAAAAGGTACATTCAACCCTATCTAAACCCAAATCATGATCACACAAGTTTATAACTGATAACAAAAGTTCCTACCTCCTGTCCTTTTTATGACTAAACTTTTTTGAGTATTCAAGTTGTCTACTGACTGTGCTGACAAAGACACGTTAGGGGCTAATTTTTGTTCTGTGATTTTCTTTCAGCTCAGTTCTCTCCACTAAAGCTTGCCAACCAAAATTATTGCTTCACAAAGTAAGCTTTTCATGGATACAGGCCAGGAACACCGGCCAAACTGGGTTTTAAGATTAACCAGAAGAACATGAGTCTATTTTCAAGACAAACAAATGAGTGGTTTCTACCACTGCCTCTTCTACTACTACAGAATCTTACACAGTATTTGATTTATGTATTTTTGTGACTTGAGCTACAAAGTTACAAAAATCCAGGAAGAATCTAGTGGTAAATGACACATTTAGCACCAAAGCTTCCTTTTTTCTTCAGGTTTTTACAGCCAAGCTTTACTTGAATATTGGTCCTTTCTGGAGGTAATTTTCAACATCAGTTCGGACAGATAGCCTTTTTCAATACTGCCAACAGTGAGCTTCCTAGAATTCCTCCCCATGCATCTTCTTGCTTCCCTTCCAACAAAATCTACAAGTACGAAATAAGTGCTGTTCTTGCCCCATTCCTAACAATTAGCTGACAAATGACAAAATGGAAAAACCACACAGATATTTAAGGCCACCCATAACTGTGCTGGCTGCTGAACAAGTTCCAAGGAGTGAATGAATCCTACTGAAAAAAACTATCTTCTTCATTCTAGAATATCCAGAACCTTCTCCTCAACTCTTCTGCTAGAGACTACTCAAGCTCCTCTTCCCTTAGGCAAGGCTCTTTTAAACTCAGATCCTATTCTGAGCTCTGTATCACAAGGAGAATCTCTATTTTCATTTAAGCCCCAGGCTTCTTTAATTTCTGAAGGACTACACAAAGCAAACATTCCCTAGAGATGCTAACAAAAGATGTCAAGAGAAGCAGTTATTTGTAATTAATAACCAACCAACTACTTAATCTCAAAGCTTAGAACTCAGGATTAGAGTAAAATCAATTTTCTTTTTTTTCTTTTTCTCTCCGTTTAAATCTCTGTGGGCTAAAAAATTACAAAGTAATTTGATTCTTAGACCCATTCAAAGCAGAATTGTGTTTGCCAGGGCAAGTTCCAGGAATCTTTGCCCAATTCACTTCAAATTTTCCTGACAAACTGCCTGTTTACTTCAAAATTAGCAGGATAAATCTGAAGTGATAAGAGTGTACTGTGGAACTTGGAGATAAAAATAAGGATCACATATAAATGTGACTGAATACTGAAAAATGTTTACTGCCCTTACTGGAAACAATTATTCACATGTCACAACAGAGCAACACACACCATACCTCCTTGAGTTCTCCTTTGCTCATGTTATCCAGATGTATTTTGGTCCAATACTTATCCAAAAGAGCAGCGTGGCTGCTTTGCTGTCTGTACCAACCTCCGCCACAACTGAATATCCTAAATCAAATCAACAGAAAGAAACACAGCGTATTGTGTCT